GGAGGGGGCTCGGTGCGGACACGGGCCGCGTAGCATGGCGCACAAGCAGTGCTCGCGCTCGCTGCCAAAATGAAAGTCATACATTACGAGTAGCGTCCTGGCCGGTGCTTGGTTCAACCCCTCCCACCTCCCCTTCCTCCCTGCTGCTGGCCTACGCCACCTGCTTCACGTCCATTCATTTTCGCGTTTCACATTCGCCCCAAATTAGTATTCAACGCCATTTGGCAGCGCTCCCCGCAGCGTGCGTACGTCCCCTGCCCCGCCCCGCCCCCACACCACACCACCGCCACAAGGCGGCCCTTAACGCGGCCTTGGAAGTCCTCTCCCCCTGACCCACCGCAACCCTCAAGTCCTAACGCGGAGAAGAAAGGGGAAGTGAGAGGTGGTGGGCGGAAAAGCAAAGAGAGCACAACCTTCACTTGAGAAGAAAAGAAAAATTACAAATTTAACGCTTTTCATTCCCGTCCCCATGTCAACATTAAAGTGCGGAACGTAAATTTTCTCAAAAGCGGCGGCTAAATCACTTTGTTTCAGGTCTGCAAGATAGGTGGAAAGTTTCGGCGCGTTAAACAGCTCAGGGTTAGATAGCCAGGATAGTTTCGTAAAGCGTACCACACTGAACAAAGAATGGGTTTACAATCGGACGGTGTGTTCAACTCAACCAATCAGGCCACACAAATGGGGCGAACGACTGGGGTGTACGAATGGGGTGTACAACTGGTAGTTGGCCCTTGCCGCACCCGTCCCAATCGCAACCCTGCAGCCTCAGCTCAGCAGTGCGCCCATTGCGGCTCAGACATGCCCCCGAGTTTCACTTCCCCATTGCGCTTTTCTCCCCTCCGACGCGGCGGACGACCTCCAGCCTCAAGTTGAGTCGGAGGGAAAGGATGCGTTTTTGGGTCAAGGTCGAGGTCCCGGAGGGACACGCGAAGCGAGCCGACGGCGTGGAGGGTAAAGGGTAGGGGAGAGAGGGAATACGACACCCCAAAACACACTCAAGTCGAGATTACGCCCCAAGACGCGCCTGTCACAAAAATGGCAGAAGGCGTGGCGGCTGGCTCCTGGGGGAGGGGAGGAAAAAGGGCGGGTGGCAAGGGGTAGGGGGTTGCTGCGCGCAAAACACACAGAGAGAGAGAGAGAGAGAGAGAGAGAGAGAGAGAGAGAGAGAGAGAG